CCCGCGGCGGCTCTGCCCGGGGTGGCTGGGTCGCCTCTGTGGCGTCCGCAGCGTGGCTGGCGTCCGGCGCGAGTGGGAGGACGCATCCGACGAAGGCCCCTTTCGGAACGCACGGGGATCGGAGGGGGAGCGTGCGGCGATTGCATGTACGCGCCAGCAAACGTTTGCGGTAGAGAAAACGAAACGGGGCGGTGTGACGGGGATGCCGGGGAGAGGCACTTTGGGAGGCGTGGCCAGGGAGGGCCTCCCGGAGGAGGTGACGTTTCGGCGGAGCCCCCGCTGGGAAGGAGCCCGTGTGGGGAGTTTCTGGGGAAAGCGGGTCCTTGGCGGAGTCTCACTCTGTTGCCCAGACAGGAGGGGCACGGACCGGGCCTCATCTGGGGATCATGTCCTAGAGGAGAGAGATTTGTGTCTGTTTCGGTCCCGGATGTGACAGTCGGTATCGGTTGGATGAAAGCTGGCTCCCCTGCCCGGAGCACTGACACCCTGGGGTCTGCGTTGACCCGTCTCCTGTGTGTCTCCCCCGCGATTGTCAACCTCCCTGGGCGAAGACTTCGCTTGACTCGTTCACCCGATTCCTTTGGACTTAACTCAGCCCTGGCATCAATAGGCGTTTGTTGAAGCAACGAACAAGCTGTGAGCGAGTGCCTGCTGTGTTCGGGTCTGGGACTGGGCTGCGCGGGGCAGACAGGGTCGCTGTGTTCCCGGCGCTCCCAGTGCAGGAGGAGACAGACGATACACAGTTGATTGTGAGCTGTGGTGGGCGCTGGGAAGGAAAAGAACAGGGCGTGGGAGGCTGTTAAGCAAGGACCTAGCCTTGCTGATTGAGTTGGTATTCACTCCGGCAAACAGCTTACGTCCTGGCCGCCGCTTTCGTCTCCTGGCTGTTTCCTTCACTTTTCCGAGGGCTCTTTGATTTCAAAAGGGAACAGCCCTACCTGGGGTTGATGCCCTGATCCTTGGTTGCAGAGTCTAGAGGAAAGTCCTGAGTGGCAGGCCGAGGTGCAGGGGAGGAACAGGCTCTGCCAGGCTCCTGCAGCCACGCTGGTGTCTGCCCAGGGTCCCTCCCCACCCACCTGGTGGGTGCTGTGCACAGTAGCACCCAAGAGATTCCGGCCACAGTGGCAGGTGAAGCAGGGCACCTTTCGCTGTGGCAGGTGGATGTGTTCCCTCCTGTTGGTACTGCGGCCAAGACACTTACCGCACTCCATCTTAGAGGTTTCAGTAAAAGCTCTGTTCACCACCAGACTTGGGTTTCACTGTGTGCCTCATGTCAGGTCCTAGAGTCCACTCAGGATCCTTACAAACTGAATGTCAGTGAAAGAAAGCAAAAAAAAAAAAATCCCGGTTTGTCTTTTTCCAGAAGTCAGTAAGTCTGAAATGCTCCCGTGAGCTCTTCCGTGTGTGGTGCTCGGCTTTCCTGTGGCTTCGGGCCGAGCACCACACACGGTGCTGCAGTTGGTCCCCAGCTGGGATCCCTGGCTCGCTCAGGCTTTTCTTTGAGTAACCCTTGCAAAGAAAGGGACAGGTCACGGATTTCTGTGGCAATAGCCAGTGGGAAGACCCAAGAAAGAAGGGTCTCACTCACCGGTAGGACTCAGGGAAGAGAGTTCTCACTTTAGCAACAGTCTTCGTCTAGGAACAGGTTTCCTCTTTTGTCCTTTAGCTGAAGGGGGAGGATCAATGCTATGAGTATCAGGCCAAATGTGTTTTGAAACAAATCTACGATAAAGTGTACATACCATTCACTTGGAACTTGGGTGTCTTTGCAGCTCCAAAATAAAACCAAAAATGTATAGAAGGAACAGTGCAACAGCAACAGTGACCAAAAAAACCCCACCTCATATACAGAAGCTGGTGATGGTGGCGTATGTCAAATCCAGTTATGTTTGTGTCCTTGCCACAGAAATTTGCCTCTTCATAGCCGACTGTAGAACCTTTGTGTCCATGGAGAGTTAAAGGAGTGTTTGCTGTTGACGGAGACAGAATTGAAACTGAGACATAGTGCCCTGCAGACAGTCCCTGAGCAGAGCTTCCTTTCCAAGTTGCTCATTTTGTAGAAGTTGGTTGTGTCTAATCACTAGGGACTTGGAAGTGGTGCTTTAGAGTAGCACGGCTGCTAGAAGTGAATGCGAAGGTGGCACACAGAAGTGAAATCTGAACTTTTATTTTTCTTCTGGTTAATTATTTTTTAAAAATTCAAAAAACGAAACAAGAACTGGCCATTTGGGGTAGACACTTCTCAGGTTGAAAAGTTTCATGTTAAGTGTGTCTTCATTTTTTTCCCAAGAGCGCCTGGCATAAATGCTGGATAAAATAAAGGTACATTTATTGTCTTAGGTGGCTTTCTTTTTTCTTTTTTTAATATTATTGTTCTCCTAAAGAGCTTGTTCAGGCACATTCTAGGTGACTTTCAACATGAATGATTACTGTATACTTTTTTTTTTTGAGTTAGAGTCTCACTCCATTGCCCCAACTGGAGTGCAGTGGCACACTCATGGCCACTCAAGCATCAACCTGCTGGGCTCCAGTGATACTTCCGCCTCTGCCTTCCCAGAAGACACAACTACAGGTGTGCACTACCATGCCCGGCTCGTTTTTTGATTTATTTGTAGGGACGCGGTCTCGCCAAGTTGCCTGGGCGGGTCTTGAACCTGTGGGCTCAGGCAGTCCACTCACCTTGGCCTCCCAAAGTGTACAGGCCACTGAGCCAGGCCTGTACACTTCTTAATAATAAAAATAATATATGTCCATTGTGGGAAATTTGGAAGGCATAAGAATAAGAAAATATCTTGAGTGATCCCAGTACCTAGAAATAAACACTTTAACTTTTGGATTAGTATTGGACAATCAAACATTTTTCTAATAGTATTAAAAAAATGTATATAAATGTATTTTTATATAGTAGGAATCACACTGAAAATATCTTAATCTGCTTTTCACATAAAAATCATGACTAGGCTGGGCTCGGTGGCTCAGCCTATAATCCCAGCACTTTGGGAGGCTGAGGTGAGTGGATTGCCTGAGCCCACGAGTTCGAGACCTGTCTGGGCAACTTGGCGAGACCTCATCTCTACAATAAATAAAAAATTAGCCAGGCGTGGTAGCGCGCGCTTGTAGTTCCAGCTACTTGGAAGGCTGAGGTGGAAGGATCGTTGGACCCCAGCAGGTTGAGGCTGCAGTGGCTGGGAGCGGCCACCCCACTCCAGTCTGGGTGACAGAGTGAGACTCCGGCTCAAAAAAAAAAAAAAAAAAAAAAAATCATGACTAATTTCCTAATTTTATTAAATATCCTTTTACAATTTTTTTAATGTTTTAAGCTTTGTATAAGAAGTAGAAGAATACAGTGCACCCAATATGCCCATAGCATAAAGAGTACAGTGGACCCCATGTGCCCATAATGTAAAGAGTACGGTGGACCCCGTGTGCCCATAATGTAAAGAATTCAGTGAACCTCATGTACCCATTATGTAAAAATACAGCATACCCCATGTGCCCATAACATAAACCCAGGACCAGTTGTTTTCCCCCACTCCCATCTCCTCCCAGACTAGATAATTTTGAAGCGAATCCAAGATATAGTTTCCTATTTCAATAAGTATCTTTAAAAGATAAGGACTCAAAAATTGTAACCATGATACCATTATCATACCTGAACATTTTAATAATAAAATTTCTTCATATAATAGAATAAAATACTTGGTCCTTTAAAACATCGTTTTTAATAAGTGCAGAGTTATCAGTTGCATGGCTGAACCATAATTTTTATGCCACTTTCTTGACAGTAATGGACCATGCAATTTACCCATGATCTTTACAAAGTGTATAGTTATGCAACCATCCCCACAGTCCAGTTGTAGAATAGTCCATCACCCCTTGAGATTCCTTATGTCCACCGAACAGTTCTCATTCCTGCCTCCAGGCCTAGGCAACTACCGATCTCTTTTTTGCCTCTGGCTTTGCCTTTTCTGGACATTCCATATAAATAGAATCACATATATGCGGCTCGTATGTCTGGTTTCCTTCACTTAGTCTAATGTTTCTGAACGTGGTCCATGCTGTTGTGTTTGTCAAAGGTTTGTTCCTTTTCATGACTGAGTAGTAGTCCATTGTATGAATACAGGCTATACTTTTATTAAGCAACTTTCTGTTGTTGAATTTTTGAGTTATCATTTTTTTTCTTTCCTGGAGGTTGATGTTCTTATAGGTAAGTTTTTGTCTGTGTCCATGGTTTTTTCCTTAGGTTAAATTTCTTCATGGGCTATTGTTGGGTAAAAGATAATTTTCAGTCTTTTTTGATAACGGTTGCCAAATGCTTTTCAGAAAAGTTATGTCAGTTTATACTCCCATTCAGTAGCATATGAAAATGTACGTTTCCCGAGCCTTTGCCAATATTTTATCTTTTTAATAAAATATAATTTTAAATTTTAGAAGTTTGGCTGAGCGTGGTGGCTCATGCCTGTAAATCCCAGCACTTTGGGAGGCTGAGGCAAAAGGATTGGTTGAGCCTAGGAGTTCAAGGCCAGCCTGGACAACATAGCAAGATCTCATCTCTACAAAAAAATAAAAAAAATTAGCTGGGTGTGGTGACACATACCTGGAGTCCCAGTTACTTGGGAGGCTGAGGCAGAAAGATCGCCTGAGCCCAGCAGGTCAAGGCTGCAGTGAGCCATGATCATGCCAGTGCACTCCAGCCTGGGCAATAGAATGACACTGTAATTCAAAAAAATTTTAGAAATTTAAAGCACATTTTTCATCCTTTTCTCAGCTCAACCAGAATGTAAATTCTTTCCAAAGAAAATTCGTTGGTGAGGTGAAGCGGTGTGAAGAACTAGAACGAATACTGGGTAAGTTTACTTTCCATTTTAATAAATTAAATGATTATTTTTATAAAAGCCAACCTTGTTCATTTTAGTAAAAACTAGAAAATATAGACAAGCAGAAAGGAAAAAAGCAGTTTTGCGTATTCTCACCATTCAGAGGTAGTCACTGTTATGTAGATTTATGTTATTTTTCTGTTCTTTTTACTCTTTATGTACATAATGGTCAGGTTATTTTGCTGCTTGATTTGTTTCTTACCTAGTGGTACTTACTGTAGCATCTTTTCATGTCAGTAACATAGAATATCATTTTTTTTTTTTTTTTGAGTCAGAGTCTCACTGTCACCTAGGCTGGAGTGCAGTGGCATGCTCACGGCCACTACAGCCTTTACCTTCTGGGCTCAGGTGATCCTTCTGCCTCAGCCTCTAAGTAGCTGGGACTCTAGGTGCGTACCACCATGCCTGTAGTAATATTTTGGATTTTTTGTAGAGTTGAGGTCCTACTGTGTTGCTTAGGCTGGTCTTGAACTCTTGGCTCAAGCAATCCTCCTACTTCAGCCTCCCAAAGTGCTAGGATGACAGACATGAGCCACCGCCTGGCTTAGATTAACATTTTTACTGTCTGCATAGTATTTCATTATATTAATGTGTTATGATTTATTTAACCAATCCTTTTGTAGTGGCCGAAAGTTCAGTCTGAGAGACCACCGAGAGCCAATTCCGATGAAAGTTCAAGAGGGTCTTTATTTACAGGCTCGAGCCTGGGCCTCTGTCGACAGCCGATACAGCGGAGTACATTCAGAGGCTCTGGTTTCCTTAAGCAGATGCCTTTTATGCTTTTACACAAAGGGAGGAGGAGTTTGGGGGGGGCTTTCCAGTTGTGTTACCATTTAAATGGGTAGTAACCTCTGGTGGTCAGCTTAATCGTGGAGGATTGGCTAGCCTGACTCCGGCTGACCTTGGTCCACTAGCTAGGGAAGTTGCAGAGACATCTGGAAACTTAGGTGATTACCCCCTGGCACCTGATTGGATGTTGCTAAGGGGAAAGTGAGATAAGGGAAGGGGTTGAAGCTTTGCAGTTTTTCCCATAACTGGAACTTTAAACAGTTATAGGTTATGTTTTAAGGCAGAAAACGAAAAATGGCTGTGCTATTGTCCACAAGCTGATTACATATTTATTGGGTTATAGCATGCTCTTAACCTAAGTCTATGGTATACTTTATTAGGGTCCTCTCACTTTGTAGTTTATTACAGCTTAAAAACTGTTGTACACACTGGGCTTGGACTTAGCCTGTAATCCCAGCACTTTGGGAGGCTGAGGCCAGTGGATGGCCTGGCCCTCCGGGTTCGAGAACAGCCTGGGCAACTTGACGAGACCTTGTCTTTACAATAAATAAAAAATTATCCGCACATGGTAGTGCACGCCTGTAGTTCTGGCTACTTGGAAGGCTGAGGCAGAAGGATTGCTGGATTCTAGTGGGTCTGTGCTGGGGTGGCCGTGAGTATGCCACTGCACTCCAGCCTGGGTGACAAGAGTGAGACTCCAGCTGGGCTTGGTGGCTCAGCCTGTAATCCCGCACCTTTGAGAAGCTGAGGTGAGTGATCGCCTGAGCCCACGGGTTCGAGACCCGCCTGGGCAACTTGGCGAGACCTCATCTCTACAATAAATCAAAAATTAGCCGGGCGTGGTAGTGTGCGCCTGTAGTTCCAGCTACTTGGAAGGCTGAGGCGGAAGGATCGCCAGAGCCCAGCAGGTCAAGGCTGCGGTGGCCGGGAGCCGCCACCGCACTCCAGTCTGGGCGACAGAGTGAGACTCCAACTCAAAAACAAAACAAAAAAAAGTTGTATACGTGTTAATATATTACTTAAAATTATATCAAAGAACAAGGGAGGCAGGAAATGGCTGCTAAACTGGTTGATAATTTCCTTTTTCTTAGAGCTTCCTTTGCTAACATGCTACACCAGTACTCTGATTGTTAGCCATTAAAACTCAATAGCCGTGGGCTACTTCTTTTACCTCTTTGGCTTGGGGATTTTTAAGAGTAACAGAAAACTTTTAGTAATCTGAAATATATCTCTTTTCTTATTGCTTGAAGTCCTAGTTATTTGTGTGACTGGTATGTTAATGGCATCATATCTCTGTCTTTGCAATCTGGGTGAGTCATTGGACGAATCGTGTATTTGGAACGGGTTTTTTAAAGCCAAGGCAAAAGTGATTACAGATTAGACATGTCCAGGATTTCCTGTAACTTAAACTGTTTCAAAAATAATGCATGCTTTAAAAATTAAAAAAGGAACTCTTAAGTAAATTTAAATATAAGCTGGGCGCAATGGTGCATGCCTGCAGTTCCAGCTACTTTGGAGGCTGAGGCAGGAAGATTGTTTGAGTCCAGGAGTTCAAGGTTGCAGTGAGCTATGGGCGTGCCACTGTACTCCAACCTGGGTGACATAGTGAGACCATGTCTCTTTTAAAAAAGAAAGGAATAAATTCAGCTTTAAATTGGTTAAAACAGTTTGCATCCTTTTCTAGATACCTCTTAAACCAGTGCTTCCTTTGCTATCTTGTTGGTAAGACACAGTTGCTTTTCTTTTCTTTTTGTCCTTCCCTCCCTCTTTTCCTTCCTGTCGCCTTCCTTCCTTCTTTTCTATAAATAAACTAATTAGTAACACTTCTCTAATGTACCAAGTATTGTGACTTCTATCCTAAGGAAAATGATGCTTTATGGAACTGAAAATATAAACTAAAGACAGTGAATGAATTTGGCTGGTGTGCTATTACCTTCACAAATCTAGATTTTCTTTTCTTTTCTTTTCTTTTCTTTTCTTTTTTTTTGAGTCAGAGTCTTCCTCTGTTGCCCAGGCTGGAGTGTAGTGGCATGCTCACAGCCACCGCAGCTTCAACCTGCTGGGCTCAGGCGATCCTTCCACTTCAACCTTCCAAGTAACTGGAACTACAGGCATGTGCCACCATACCCGACTAAGTTTTTGATGTTGCCCAGGCTGGTCTTAAACCCCTGGACTCAGGCAATTCTCTTGCCTTGGCCTCCAGAAGTGCTGGGATTACAGGTGTGAGCCACCGTGCCCAGCCCAAATCTAGTTTTTAACTTCAGTAGTGAAGCAGTGCACATTGTCCCGAGGCACAGCACTAGTCCTGACGGGGATTTGCAGGAGGTCCAGGAGTTCTGCCCTGGGTGTGGAGAGTGGTGGCGATTTTCTTGATGGACGCCCCTCTCTTCCTAAGGGCATTGGCAGAAGTCACATCTGGCTCTTGTGGGGACCATTGTACGTCTGTCACTTGGATGATTTCTGCACTTCCAAGGACACTCCAACCTCTGTTTAATTGTACAGGTGCAGAGACAGCTGTGACTCAAAAGTTTTTTAACTAGAATTTTAGAAAAGAAAAAAATTAGGGGGATTTCAGAAAATGTTTCTCCAGATGGCTTATTTTGTCACTGGATGCCTGTCTCTCTAGGCAGCATTGCCTTGCAGATCTTTGGAACCAAGGTTGCAAAAAGTAACCTGTAAATCACCTGGAACAAGCAAGATTTTTGTTCAGTTTAGACATTGATTTTTAGATGGCCTGGGAAAGGGTGGGATGTAAAGTGTTCTGACTAAAATGTGCTCTACTAGGTTTGTATATCTAATTTATTTAACTTTTCTTTTCACAGTATATTTGGTGCAGGAAATTAATAGAGCTGCTATTCCCCTTCCTGAGTGTGAGGCCAGTCCCCCCGCACCACCTCTTAAACAGGTTCTAGAAATGCAGGTAACTTGCTTCTGAGGAAGCTGTATGAAAACAATTGTTCTCAGGGGCTGCTTATTTATGATTTTATATTGCCTGGTGCTTTTCTGCCTTCTCAAAACCGTATATGATAGAAATTAAAGACTGCTCTTATGGTCAAACCTCAGTCCAGGATTATTTGTGATGAATTTTAACGGTGATTCAGTTTTCTTTTACAATGTTAAGATGTGTGCTGAACGTCTGGTGAACAGGGCTAATGAGAATTGGGCCATCCAACCTGGTTCATAGTCATTTTCCAGAAAGTTCCTTCTGGGATTACCCATGCCTTAGCATGTCTCTTCTCATACAAGCAATTGAGGCTTCAGTCCTGCGCCTTCATAGTGTTCCCAAATTCACCCTGATCCTGCCCCCTATAATTTTTAGAAGTTAATATGAAGTCACTAGGTTGTTTCAGGTAGCAGCACATGGAATCCTCTGACCCTACACCCACTGACTTTTGCATTGGGAACACAGGCTCCCCCTGTGAGGATACACACTCAAGTTGTTGGTTGGCACCCCCTACCACTTCTGGGAATTATCCATTGAGGTTTTAGTCTAATCACTTCATAGTTTTCCATACTGGGAACCAGGCTAGAGCTCTTTAGTAGCTCTTCTAAACAATCATTATTGTGTAACCGAGGCCATCCCATGGGTGGTTTGTTTATTGGGAGGGAGTCATTTAACGTTTGGTGTATGAGTGGACTCCAGAGGGAATTATACCATCAGATGAGTAGAAAGCAGTCATCTGGTTTGGCCTGTTTGATGGGTTGGTATAATATAATTGCAAACAGAGTGATTACTGCTGATAGATTTTATAAGACAAAGAAGGAGTAATGAAGTCGGATGCTAAATGACTGGTTTGAATTCCAGTTTTCATTGACTCAATGATTTGTTGTACAGATTTCTGCTTCTATTGTTTTAATTCTGAAGAATTGTTAAGGATATTTAGTATATAATGATAATGATGATTATTGTTTTTGTTTTTGTTTTTTTTTTGAGTTGGAGTCTCACTCTGTCGCCCAGACTGGAG